GGGTAAGAGAGGAATATGTGAATGGGAAAGGTGTACCTTGTTGGAAATCACATTGGTTTTCTGTGGTAAAGCCATCTCTGCCATAGGGAAAAATGAAATATCTAATGCCATTTTCAGTAAGTTCCCTCTTGTAGCTTTAACTTCTGCACTCCAGATTTTTGCACAAGCCATACTGAACTATTTAATGTTTGCATACCGCTTAAATTTTGTTCCAGCTGCACTGAACTACTTAACAACCAGCACACTGCCATGCTCTTTCTTACCCTTCTGGGACTTGCATAAGTCCTTCTCTTTGCCAAGCAAATTCTTCCCCACCCCCCTACTCCTCTACTAAATTCTTCTCTTTCGGGTCTGGGATAACAAACATCACCTCTCCTCAGAAACCTCTGCCTAATAATAAAATAACTACAACATATTGAGAACTTAGGGTGAGCCAGGCACTGTGCTAAGTTCTTTCGTGTGAGTTAAGTTATAATTATTAGGAGAACTGTAGGAAGTAAGTCTGAATACTTCAGTGAGAAAACAGGTACGGATAGAGGGAATTTCTAGAACAGTGCTGATTTCTGGAGATAGGGCAGCCTCTGACAGTAGCATGGTTCTGGAGAGGCTGGAGTGAAAGGTATTCCTGGGGACAACGCATTTAAAAGTCACTGTATTTCCCTAGAATCCAGCATTCTCTGCTAAATTCTGTTAAAACATCTGTTCAGGCTCAGCGCCCATGGCTCAGTGGTTACAGCCTGGCATACGGGCTGTAACCTGACCCAAGGCCTGCTAAACAACAATGACAACTACGACAACAACAAAAATTGCTGGACGTTGTGGCGGGTACCTGTAGTCCCAGGTACCCGGGAGGCTGAGGCAAAAGAATCGCCTAAGCCCAAGAGTTGGAAGTTGCTGTGAGCTGTGACGCCACTGCACTCTATCCAGGGCGACACAGTGAGACTCTGTCTCAAAACCAAACATCTGTCGAATGCATGTCGTGACAGCAACACTTATGGGCAGCCCCAAGTGAAGTCTGCAAATGCTTCTTGCTTTAACCTTTCCCAGTACCAACCAGAGGAATATTCTCTGCCCGGGATTCCCTGGCTGGTCCTACTCCATGAACACCAGGCGACAGGGGCTCCCAAGCTGCGTCCGCAATGAGGTTCACCCATGCTGGGTCTGTGTAGTCCCAGACAAGAATTCGCCTTAGAAACAGCTGTGAACGTTGAGGCATGGTGCGAGGCACACAATCTCCAGACCAGGAGTCAGCATCAGAAGCGGAGAGGGCTGGTGACAGCGCTGCGTCTGTCCCTCAGGGCGTCTTCGGACCCAGGTCTGAGGAATGCGTCTGAGTCTCAGTCTTAGCGTAAGGAAATCATGGTCTTGCGGGCGGCTGCCGCCAGAAACCTCGCCTCTAGCAGGCGACACCGCCCTTACCTACATCGCTACCCTAGGGCAAGGGCGTCGCAGAACGCCCGGCTCGCGCGGCCGGAAGCCTAGGGCCCAAGGTTCCTCGGCGCGCCAGCGGCTGCGGCGGCAAGAGCGGCGGGAAGCTTCTCCGCGCCCCTCCCAACAGCTCGGGGAGGGGCGGGACCGAGACAGGCCACGCCCACGAGCGCGCGCTGCCCCTCGGCAACCGGCACAACATAACAAAATGGCCGCTGCGCCGCTGGGTCCCTGAAGGGAAGGACGTGCGCGTCTTTCGCTCCGCCAAGTCCCGCGGGGCTTATCGGCCCGATACCTAGGCAGTGAGTGCCAGGCCTGGTCGAGGCAGCCCTCCGTTGTCCGGTCCAAGCGGTAGGGGCCGGCGGCAAAGGCGGGAAGGCCCAGACGGAGCGTGGGGTGGGCCGGCGAGGGATGGATTCGGGGCGGGGGCGTGTGTCTGGGGATTGGGATTGGATGGGAAGGATGGGAGGGCCCGGAACGGGCATGTGGAGGTGGGTGGAGGGAGGTTTGGATGGGAAGACGTGGGGTGATTGGGGATAGCGAAACAATGTGGAAGTTGTGTTGCGGGACTGAGACGGATGGGGTCCCACTACCTGAGGAGGGAGGGGCTGGGAACCCCGCGGCCGGGAGAGGAGGGAGGGGCTGGGCTGTGCCGGTGTCTGTGGGGAATGACTGGATAAAGATGGTTTGGGTGTCCGGACAGGTGGCCTGGTTTCAGATGGCAGTACATAGAGAAAGATCAGAATTAGGATATTGGGGCGAAATGCTAAAAGAAGGGCAGAGCAAATACTTTGTTGTATAATGGTTAAGGGATGATAAATTTGAAGCCAAACTTGGGTTGGTGTTACTTAACCAGCTCTGTGACATTGTGACTCTGTACGTGTTCCTTAACCTTCCTGAGCATATGTGTCCTCATTTGTAAAAATCCTTACAAATCACCTTTGAGTGTACAGTGTGTGCCAGAAGCAGCTCTAAGTACTTACTAACTCATTTAGAATTTAAAATAGTTTGTATGAAGCTATTCCAATTTTAAAAGTGATGGCACCAAGGACCAGAGAAGTTAAGTAATTTGCCTAGTGTCACCCAGTAAATGGAGAATCAGGATTTGAACTCAGGCAGTCTACCTCCAGAATCCAAGCTGTTGATCCAAGCCACTTGTAAAGGAGTTTGATAAATTCTGATTTTATACAGCATCTGTAAAAAGATTTAAATTTGGTAATTTCTTTAGAATGTTTAGCACATCCCTTTAGTCAACAGATATTATCTGCAGAACAACAAATAGATTCCCTGCTCTCTTACAGTTTATAGTCCATAAGGAGAAACAGAAAAGTAGTTTCACAAATAATGGCAGAGGGAAAATCAGGCTGTTAGTAGGATGGAAGGCTTAGGGCCAGGATGTTAGGACAAAAAGGCAAGTAAGTAGGCAGTTGGGTTGGGATGAAGAGGAATGGGTGGAGGTTTGAATGTTTTGTTTGGGAAGAAGAATATTTAGAGACCAGAGTATTGGAATGCACTAAGATGTCAGGTATTTTCTGGAGTGAAGGGAGATGAGCAGGTCAGGAAGTCTGGGTGGATATGGAAGTGTTGAGGCAGAGTACTGGAAAGAACAGTAGAGAAATGGGGCAAACTGATATGAACTGGCACAGAATTTGTAGAAAAAACTTGGCAATCAGAGTGAGGTGAAGAAGGATGGAAGGTACAGGTGGGTAGCACATGATGTGGTAATTGGCTCTGGAAAGAAAAGTGGCTGAAGACTTTTGAAGAAGAATGGGAATCAGGATTTCTGGAAGGACTTAGAGAATGCTAGAGTAAGAGATTTATAAAACAGAGTATTTGAGTAAGTCAGAGGATATGGGATGAAGTAGAATTGCAGGAAACCCTAAAGGATAAAGTGTAGAGAGAGATATGGAGATTAAGAAGTGGAGATGGGTATTGCATATTAGGGTGTTCTATAGAGAGACAGGTTTTGGGATTATTGAAGTTCAGCCTCATTTGGAGATCAGAGAAGATGAGAAGTTAGGATGTTAGAAAAGCTCGATAGAGACTGGAGTTTGCAGTCTCCACTGTGCTGTGATGGACAGGATTTTTAAATCTGGGTTTGTGGGTGGCAAGATGGGTAGTATTTTGTTGCCTGGTCATGTGATTTTGATTATTAATACCTCATTCCAGTGGCTTTCTCTTCTTCTGCAGACTACCTTCTGGGCCTTTAAAATATGACTCCAACTCTGGACTTATTTTCTTTGTTTTCTCTTTATCCTGCACTTCCAGTTACTCTAAGCTGGCTTTTTTCTATTGCTTAGTCTTTGTTCATGTGATTGCAAACAATATTCTAGGGTCAAACTACACCTTCATCTCTCCCTTCAAATTGTAATTCAAGATTAACCACCTCCAGGCAGTAGTCTCTGAAATAATGCCAGCTATTTTTAAACACTGTAAATCCTTAAGCCTAGTTCCTCAAGTTAGCTATTCTATGAGATAGAATACATATATCTATTGTTTCCGTGTCTAGACTTTATAGGAACTATGACAACCCTGGGAGTAGATTTGAGAATTCATGAGAGAGAGGAGTTGGCTCAGCACCTGTAGCTCAAGTGGCTAAGGTGCCAGCTACATACACCTAAGGTGGCAGGTTCAAATCCAGCCTGAGTCCGCCAAACAACAATGATGGCTGCAACCAAACAAAATAGCCAGGCATTGTGGCGGTCACCTGTGGTCCTAGCTACTTGAAAGGCAGAGGCAGGAGACTTGCTTGAGCCCAGGAGTTGGAGGTTGCTGTGAGTTGTGATGCTACTGCACTCTACCCAGGGGGATAGCTTGAGGCTCTGTCTCAAAAAAAAAGGAGAGAGGAGTTGATCTAGATTTCTGGAATGTGTTCTAATTTTTTTAAGCCTGAGTTTTACTGATCAGGAGAGGTTACAGAAGATCTCATGGTCATCTAGTGAGGCCCAAACCGTCTTGGTCATTAGGATTACATGAGAGGAATTCTAGATGGTTTAGTATTTTGAGAATTTAGAGAGAGGACTAAGATGCAAGATTCAAAATAATTGCATTGCATAAAAATGTGGAATTTTTTTCTAAAAAATTTTTTTAAAATATAAAGCGTATCTCTATGGCATATAGCACATACTATTATTCTAATTTTATAATCTTCTCCCATGCTAGGGATGGAGCATATAAGAAGTGGAGATGCGTATTGCATATTAGGGATGCAATATGCAGTCCCTAATAGGGATGGAATACATAAAAGTGAGACTGGGCCCTGTCCCTCCTCTCTCTCTTTTTTATTTCATCTCTATGAAAACTACATGCGTATAGTATATGTGATCTATGAATTAATTTAACTAAGGAATAAATAAAATTTTACATTTCTAAGCACTTTCCCCTTTGCTCTCACCAAATTTGAGGATATTTATCTTATTTAGAAGGAAAACACCAGTACGGTTTAGCACAGAATCAATATATAGGATTAAACAAACTCAGTATCTCCCATTATACTCTCATAATACAATTCTATAAGGTCTTCCCCCTACAAGTCAAGTAAGCAATCAGTTCTGCAGTGGTTCTGAACTCTAATTCAGTTCAGTTCTGACACTATTTGGAGATAATCAGAAAGATCAGATCCCATAGGTTGAGGGCTAAGTCCCACAAGGCCTCAGGTTTTACCTGTGTTTCTTTTTTTTTTTTTTTTTGAGACAGGAGCCTCAAGCTGTCCCCCTAGGTAGAGTGCCGTGGCATCTCAGCTCACAGCAACCTCCCACTCCTGGGCTCAAACGAGTCTCCTGCCTCAGCCTCCCAAGTAGCTGGAACCACAGGCGTCCGCCACAACGCCTGGTTATTTATTTATTTATTTTTTGGTTGCAGCTGTCATTGTTGTTTGGCGAGCCCAGGCTGGATTCGAACCCGCCACCTTGGGTGTACATGACTGGCACCTTAGCCACTTGAGCCACAGGCGCCGAGCCTTTACCTGTGTTTCTTACTGATGGGCTATAAATTGTCGTTCCCACGACCCCCTCCATGGGTTTAATTAATTTGCTAGAGCAGCTCACAGATCTCAGGGGGCTCTTACTTATGATTACTGATTTATTATAAATATTACAAAGGATACAGATGAGAAAATGCATAGGGTAAAGCAAATGGGAAGGGGCACAGGGCTTCTTTGCCCGCTCTGAGCAGACTATCCTTCAGGAACCTCTGTACCCACAAGCTCCCCAAACCCAATCTTTTTCGGTTTTTATGAAAACTTCATTATGTAGGCATTATTGAATCATTGATTACATCATTGGCCATTGGTGATCAACTCAAGCTTTAGCTCTCTCCTCAGAGGTTTGAGGAGTGGGTCTGAAAGTCCCCACTCTTTAACCATGGCTTATTCTTTCCAGTGAGAGGTGACAGTCAGTCAACTCATTAGCATACAAAACGATACTTGTCACTTTGGAGATTCTAATTATTTTAGGAGTTGTGTGCTAAGAAAAGGAACTAACCCGAAATATATATTTCACAATACTAAGAGACTTGTTTCCATTATAGAATGGTGTGATCTAAGACACAGGAATTGTTTACCACACTTTTGAAATTAAGACCAAAAGTATGTTTATAGCTGGCATAAGTAGCAGTTATGACTTGATGGAGGTGGGTTTCTGACCCATATGGTTAGTTTAATATGAGAAAATGAAAGAAAAAGTAAAGACACATTTAAGTTAGCTATTTAAACTACAGGTTGAGTGTTCCCTTATCTGAAATACTTGGTACCAGAAGTGTTTTGGATTTTTTCAGATTTTGGAATATTTGTAATATATTTATCTATGTTTATATTTTTATATTTATAATTCAGTATTTCAGAATTTTGGATTGTCAACCTGTAGTGATCTAGGATGTTGGAGTAAGACAGTTGGCCATATTATAATTTATGTGAATTAATAATTGACTTTTAAAAAATGAATAATGTGGCAAATTTTTATTCTTATCAAACTAGATACATTAAGAGGCCAGATCATGATTCAGTGATCTATCTTTGTGTAGAATTTTCCAAATCATTTTTTAGTGGCATTTATTTATGGTCTATTTTGTGTAAAACATCATGCTAGGCCTTAGAGAACAAAGCAAACATAATCTGGACTCCAGAAAACTCAGCTGTATGACAGGTAATGAAAAACATGAAATTTAGAATCAGATCAGGATTCAAGTTTTGTTCTAACCAATTATGGAACTTTGAACAAATTATTTAATATCTTTATCTGTTAAATGGGAAATAACAACACATATAGAGTTGTTGTATTCGGTTTTTTTCAATCTAATGATAGAAGTAAAAAGCTTATCACAAATATTTGTTTGTTTGTTTTAGAGACAATTCT